TTTGATCTCACTCATCGCAGAAGAGAGGGTTTTGGTTCTCTTGCTTTCTTTGGCAACAGGTGTGCAAGGAAGTATAATATTTAAAGAGATGTCTTATCTGCCTCTTGTACAAGCAGTAATACAGCATTGCAAGCAGAAAGCCAGCACAAAGCTTTGAGGTAGGACTGGGAAATGCTTTCTATGGCTGTGGGAATTTCCTTGATTTGCCCTCTTCCTTAGAGGCAGACTACTCTCCCCTTACATTGAAAGGAGCACAGGTGTAGAATGAAAAATCAAAAAACTTCTTTATTCACTTCTCTTAGCAACACCTTCTTGGATAACTACTGAATGCAAAATTCTGCAATTTAGTGTAAGGCAAAACAGGAGCTCAATTGATGCCTTTGGAAATTCCTCTGTTAGGAATGAGAGGTAAAGAACATAAGGGAATATATCTTTATGCCTTTTTTCATGCCGTGCTTCCAAGGGGAAGGCTGCAGGGAGGATAAAGAGCTTTTGGGTGCTGCGCTGCAGTTGGTATCTTGGCTAGAGCTTCATGAAACCCAATGCGCAGTTTCAACAGAGGAGGCACAACTGTTGGCAGGTTCTGGTGACCATGGCAGGCCCCAGCAGGAGTTTTTCTAAGAACACAACATATGATCAGATTACTGAGGGGCACTTTTCGTGGCTCTAAAAAATGAACCATCTGACGGCGTATGACAGCTCTGCCTGTTCCAGCCAAGTGAGGAGCGTTCGTCTTCGCTGACCCTGCAAGCTGGGGTTGTGAGACAAAGAAAGGGCTTTCCAAAGGCTGTGAACCTGCAGGCTTCTAACAGTGTAATAGCTGCTTACATCTAAATACCTGCTTACATCTAACCTCTGATAAGAAAAAAACAAAAGACATCTAGGACGTGCTTCTCTTGCAGTTTTGATTCACAGTAATTTAATACGTTCTTGCTGCAGAGTTTACCGGACTTGGCAATTTGGATAGTTCTATATTTAGTAATCTCTGTGATGTAGTCTTAGTAGAAAGATCTGGATTTTTTTTTTGCTATCAGTATCTTTAATAACTTAGTATACCGTGTCACCTTTCTGTTTTTCCCTGGCTCTGTGGGGACACACTTCTTAAAAAGGAAGTCTGTATGAGAGGAAGGCTGTGTGAGAGGTGGTGGCAAGTGAGAAGTGAATTCTAAAACTGCAAATTTTGAGGTTCCACACTTGAATGCTCTCTCTAGAGAATTTCTGTACCAACTTCTAATACATGCAATTAGTAAAACAGTTTCCCCTCCCTCTAGTCTTCTCCAGTGAAGTACATGGCCTGAGAGAGCTTTGCAGTTTTTGCCGATATTGTCAAAGACAGTTAAACACACAGATAGGGAGACACCTCCCACTGTCCCAGGCTCTACTACGGTTCATTGCATCTCCTCCCTGCTTCCTATTCTCAGCTTCCCTTGTTTTATTCTCTGTAACACTTGGTCCCTCTTAATTCCTTTAATGAGGAACCTTTAATGTTAAGGTTTCTTTCTGCCAATCCTTGCTTTTTCTTTTTTTTTTTTTCCCCTCTGATGCTTCTTGCTGCTCTTCTGTTTCTACATGGATTCTTGATGGGCTGCAGTCCTTTTCGGGCTGGCCCTTCTCTAGCATGGGTCCTCCACGAGCTGCAGTTGCCTCAGTGTACTCCTCCTGCCATGAAGAAGCTCTTTCCAAGAGTACTTTTCCAGCTGTGTCCCCAACAATGTCCTCTACCATATGTCTGTCCTTCTCTGTCTCCTTCCCTGTCTTTTTACTTATCTTGGATTTCTCCTGTCCATCTTCCCGTGTCTTCTTTTTGTGGTTTGTTTTGTGTGTCTCTTCTTGTGTTTCCTGCCCCTAGTGGCTATTGTGCTTTCCAAAATATGTTTGAACAAAGGTAGCTTGTGCTCTTCTGACTGCTTGAGGTTTTGATGGATTGTTGTTTGCATCCATTTTCGAGATGGCTGGAATTGACTGGGTCTGGCACGGAGCTGTTTGTGGCATCATGAACAACCCTCTCACACAGATTACCCCTGCAGCCCTCTACTGCTGAAGCAGGATAGCGTTCTGTCAGATTGCTCAGTCTACATAATTTCTTGACTTTCATGGAAATACAACAAATCTAAGTTTGTTCCATAATAGTTATTATAACTGGTTGATAATCCATTGAAATTAGTTTTGCAAGGATGACCCATATTTGAGCCAGTATCTGGAGAATTTCCATGTGTTCAAATTGTCAGTATAGCCCAATATGCACCCTTTAAAATTTTGCCTGAAATTCTCCACACCCACTTCTTCTTAAGGCTAGTTTTTCCTCTGTCTTTCATTAACTCACTCCCCTTGCCCCCTGAAGGGTCCTCTTGGTGTATATAAATTGTCCTCCTTGTTTCTTTATAGATAATGAGGTTTGAGCACCTTATTTTGGTCCGCACATTTCCCACTTCTGACGTGTGTCAATCTGTCCTTCTGATATTTTGTGCGTGCCAGCATCTGTGTGAGAAGAATAGCTTCTGTTGTTTCTTACCTTTCAACTTGGATCCATGTCCAACAGATGGAGGCTTTGAAAAGCCATAAATATTATTCTTGGCACTAGAAGAAGGTGGTGTGGATATGTGTCGCTACTAATTGGTCTCCCTTTTGTAAAAATGGTTACATTGGTTGGAAAAGCAGCCAGGTGGAAGGTAGCATAACAGCATCTGCTCCCGTCAAACTATTCTGGATACGTCACTGTGCTAATGCTGAAACTGTGGGAACTGAAGAGGTTGGTGGCTACATGCTGGGCACTGTGTTTCTGGCACAGAAATAATTCCTAATTTGTGTATAGAGGCGTTGGAGCTGTTTTCTTTACTGAGCTACAGACTCCCAGGGGAATAAGGAGAGCTTCTGACACCATTAGGAAAAGATTACAATCTGTAAATGTAAAATGCTTTCTCATTCTTGTGTGTGCTTTGATTATGTTTCATTAACATGGCCTAAATGCAGTCATGGACATTTACATTTTTCTGTTTCAGAAACAGATGGAATTGGGAGCTTTGTCAGCTCTTCCCTAAAGGGTTGGGTGGTCAGTCTCTAGGATAGAGTCCTTCCTTGCATTCATTTTTTTTTTCAGGGTTGAGTTAAACAAAGGTTTAAAATAAAAACAGGTGACAACCTTTTCATGGAATCTTAAACTACTGGAATAAATATTGCATCTGTTTTCACTGCTTGCTTTTTGAAGGTCTGCGATGCCCTGATGTACAAGTTCTCCATTTAGCCCATACAATTTCCATAGAAATAGCTGGTTTTTAATAATTTTGTTATAAATAAACTTCACTAGGGCTGTGGCTTTGCTTCCCAGTTTATGCCTGCTTCATTCCTCAAACACCTGCAGCCATATAAAATGTCTCACAGACTTGCACTTCCCACTTCCAACTTTTTATTTGAGGTACTGTATTGCTACTACTGTGGTCACCACAAATGTATTATTTTGCAAAGCCTGCTCTTTCTGTCATGTTTTCTGCCTTGCATCAGCCTAGAGTTCAGATGTGTAGCTGCTGCTTTTCTGTTTCTGTTCCTTATTCCTCCATCTCCCGGAAGAGAATAAAATCCCTGTGCTTGCTTAGATTTGGAACATACTCCTATCAGGTATTTATATGCACTGATAAGACTCTCCTCAAGTCTTCTCCAGGCTGAACAGTCCTAGCTCTCAGCCTCTCCTCACATGAAAGATGCTCCAGTCCCTCAGTCATTTTAGTGGACCTTTTGCCGGACTCACTGCGGTATGTCCACATATTTCTTGTGCCAAGAAGCCCAGAACTGGATGCAGTGCTCCAGATGTTGCCTCAGCGGTGCTGAGTAGAGATGAAGGATCACTTCCCTTGACCTGTTAGCAACAGGTCCTCCTAATGCAGCCTGTTGGCGTTCTTTGTCAGGAGGGCAAAGATGTTGGACTTCTTTGTCAGGAGGGTGCACTGTTGGCTTATTGTCAGCTCATTGTCAACCAGGACCCCCAAGTCCTTTTCTGCAAATATGCTTTCCAGATGGTCAGCATATGCTGATGCTTGGGGTTATTTTTCCCTAGGTGCAGAACGTTGCATTTTCCTTTGCTGAACTTCATGGGATTCCCATCGGCCCATTCTCCAGTCAAGGTCCTTCTGAATGGCAGTGTAGCCATCTGGTGTATCAGCCTCTCCACAGTTTTGTATTGTCTGTGAACTTGTTGAGGGTGCACTCTGTCCAGGACACTAATGAAGTTGTTGAACAGTATTCACCCCAGTACAGCACTAGAGACTTACCTCTACCTGGACTTTTTGCCACCGGTTTAAGCCCTCTGGGCCCATCCATTCAGCCAGTCTTCAGTGCACCTCCTTGTCCGCTTATCTAACCCATAGTTTATCAGGTTGCCTATGAGGATGTTATGGGAGACAGCGTCAAAAGCCTTGCTGGAGTCACAATACATACAGCTTTGTACTCATCCACCAAGATAGTGTCTTCGTTGTAGAAACTATCAGATTCGTTAAGTATGATTTGCCATTTGTAAATCCATGTGGACTACTTCCAGTCACCTTCATGTATCTGGAAATGGCTTCCAGGGTTACATGCTCTATCACCTCCCAGGGACTGAGGTGCCTGACCTGTTGTTTCCCGGATCTTCCTTGTTCCTTTTCTGAATGTTCTAAATAGGGTGGGTGACTTTTCTTTTTCTTCTTTATTTGTACTGGTGATCTTGATCCATGTTTACAGCTGCTACACACTGTGGCAATGTAATTATTAAGCAAAGCATATGATTCTCCTTTTTACTGGTAGTTTTAAGCTATACAGGTGCAAACTAGGAAGTAGAATTTGCAGCCCAAAGTTCTACTCCTAAAACTCAGACCTCTACCATGTGAACTAATTGAGTGCCTTTCTAAAAGAGAAAATAGTGTGACTGAGTATGACCCCATTGCTGATCTCTATAGATAGATAATTCCATTGTGCATCTTTTTCTGGGGTCATAGCTTTCTAAACTTATCTTTGCATTATTTCTGTTTCAGGCCGAAATGAGCTGATTGCCCGCTATATTAAGCTGAGAACAGGGAAAACACGCACAAGGAAACAGGTAAGTGTGAAGTTTTCCCTGTGCACATTAGCTTCTTTTGACCAGTAGATGTGATTAGGGCTTATGAGAGCAAATGCCTTGCTGTTCACTTGCTATTAGTGTCTGGCTTTGCTGGAAAGAGGTTGTTGTGCTGAGCTGGGTAATAAGAATGGTGGGAAGAGGCAGCTCAGGCATTTTACATACAGTAGGACTGTAACACTTGTGTCTCCCAACCACATCGCGACACACAAATTTTTCTACTTCTAAACTGTGTGATTTTATGGTTTTGGTCTACTATTGAATGTCTTGATGAACATCAGTGGTCCTCTATATGAAGATTCTTTGTTCAGCCCAGACAGGTGGACAGCAGTTGTGGTTTTGAAAATACCTGGCACACAGGATGAAAAAGCAATCTTTGTAATTTGGAAATGACAGTCTAAGTTATGCTGAATAAAGCACTGAGCAACCTAGACCTGCTTTGGATAGGGGGTTGTTGGATGACATCCAGAAGTTCCTTCTAACCTAAATTCTATGATGCATTTGGGCCCATATTTGATATGAGGAAGTTCCAAGAGTCATATAACAGCCAGCGATACGGAACGTGAGTTTCCCTCCTCCCAAGAGGAGGCCAAGATGAAAAGCTAAGAGATAAGAGCTCTCAATCTCTAGATTTAAGGATGGATTCCCTAGTTTTAGAGGAGATCTCTGGCTTGATAAAGCCGTTTGAATTGGAAAAGGCTTTAAATGGCTAATCTTTGCTCGCTCATCAACTCATTTCATGACACTTAAGTTATATTCAGAAAGGCATCTCATTGCTACCTCAGTCCTCCCTCCTCGCAACCCTAAATAACTCCCCATTGCACAAAGTGCCTAAAGTATGTTTACTTCTGCAAGCAGCTACCAAGTACTCCTCTGGAATGAAGATGGATTTTGTCTTTCCATGCAGGTATCTAGTCACATCCAGGTCCTGGCAAGGCGGAAAGCTAGAGAGATCCAAGCCAAGCTCAAGGTATGATGGGTACCCTTTAACATATCGTGCAAGCAAGCCCCCTGAGTCAGCCATTCCTTCATATATTTCATCTTTGAATAGCCTTAAAAAAGGGTGAAATTAGCCACCAAACAGTAGTAAGCTGAGGAGGAAAAGGTACTTCCCAGGAAGCGTTGTGCAAACACTTTTATTGTTGTAGCTCTATGACGTCTGGAGCAATTCTATTTAAAGAATAAAGAAACAATAACTTTAATTTTTATGTGTCTGATTTCTACCTCCGGTTTATGCTGCTGTCATCCAAGTCTGCAAGACCCTTAGACTTGGAAGTATTCAAAGAGTGTTAACCTGAGAAGGAAGGGTTTATGGTTACAAATGCTAATGTTACAAGTAATCAGTCCCTGGTGTTGTGGTGGTCTTGGGAAAGGGTAGACTTACACTTACTGCAATGCTAGTTCCATCTCTACTAGTGGTAGTTATGTGGAGTTGTCCGTGAGAAAGTGTTCTGAGTTGGCATAACCACTGAGAGGAAGCAATAAAGCCAGCTGGCGTCTTCTCAGGTAAAATGGTGCCAGCTGAATAGCCTTTGCCCTTGATTAATTCAGACATAATTTGAAGAGGCCTGGGCTAATGAGAAAGAAAATGGTTGACTACTTGCTTGAGCAAATCTGTGTTTTCCTTTCTGTAGGAAGAGCTCTGAGACCACACTAATGAACTGATACCTCTTGACATTTATTTCCACTAAGATTTGAAGCAGGGAGATGGTTTTTATGGTCAGACTGAATTGCCAGAAATGTCAAGAAGGTCAAGTTTTATGGGTGGCAATTGCACAAGGGATGTCCCCTATTAGAATATGAGCCATCCAGAAAGGGCTTGCTGAGCAGGATGTGATGTCACTGAGACAGCCAGGGAAGGAAGGTGCATGCTGACCTTCCCAATTTGGTATGGCAGTATGTGATCTGGAGTGAAGTGCGTTTGCATCCCTGATCTTCCATGCTTCAGGTGATGATGAGAACCTTGGCAGCCCAGCCCAGTCCAGCCCAGACTGTTGAGTGGATGGCTGTTAGTACACCCTTCCTCTTGGGTGTCTGGGCAACTCCTCGCTGGGCACCAGAAGTAGACTGTTTCTGAGTGAACTATTGGCACTCAGTCCTGAACAGTGCTGAAGAGCATGCATCTCTACTGTGAGCAGTGATTACCTCTAAGTCATGACTGCACCCCCCACATCCCATCCCCAGCTCCATTTTAGAAAATGGCCTTGTGTCTGTCATTAGCCTGTTGTGTTTCCAGCTGCTCTGATAAAGAGAAGGAGCCACAAATTACAACTATCTAATTCAGTGCTTCTAGGTAGGACTGCCTAAGCTTGAAGCCTGTGGTGCCGTTAAGTGGTCAATTCAGGTGGAGACCTGCTTGAGAGGCAAGTTAGAGCGAGTAGGAAACAACAACTGCCCGGGGTGTTAAAAGATTTACTGCTGCTTATATCTGTAACCTTGATTCCGTTCCTTGCGTGTCACAGCTCTGGGATTTGGCATGATTGAAAAGGCAGCTAGCCGGGCCCGTTTCCACTTAGCACACAGGAGATGGCCGGTTTTATTCTTGGGGAACGAAGGTGTCTCAGGGAGCTCCACAGAGCCATTGGTCGTTCTCCTTTTACACCATCTCGGGCCATGCTGTGAGCTCTGCCCTGCTGCCTGCAGTGAACCATTCCCCAGTACCAGACTGTTCCTTTCTGCCTGCAGAGGCAAGTCTGTAGCACTGATTCAACTCATTTACTTCTTTGCTTTCGCTCATCGTTGTCGCAGAGCAAGGAAATGAAATTGCAAAACCTGCTGCCCTTCTTC